ATAAATAAAGTATTATTATTATTATTATTATTATTATTATTATTATTAAGCCATGGTAGTTAAAGCAGTGTCAACGGCATTATTTCTGCAGTGCAGATACAGCCCATATCTATATAAAATGTAGGCCTGTGACTCCAACACAATCACACACACCCTGTCCTGCATGATTTTTTAAAACAATTTTTTGCCTTATGATGAAGCCAGTGGGGCTTCTAAAGCTTCCATTATGTAATGAAGAGGAATTAATGTTAGACAAGATGATAGTGATGTATTCAAGTCTTTTACTCCAGGACTCTTACTTCAAGTCTCATGTCAAGTCTCAAGTTCTTGCAAGATACTTTCATATCAACTCTCAAGTCAACTCTCAAGTCCAGGAGCCAACTTTAACAGAAAAAAAGGAGATGGTGATGGTGATGGTGTGTGCATGTATGTGGTGGGATGGGGTAGAGTTTCAATAACTAGGAAATCAAAAAGAAGTGCACAAAATTAAATAAAAAATATTCTTGATGGGGAACAGCAAACAAGCTTAAGATAGAATGATTTGCTGTTTCCCTCCAATAATTTTTTGCCCCATACTTTGTGCATGTCTTCTTGATTTTCTAGACCCTTCGATGTGCAGTGGGGACAGGCTGCTCAGTAGACCTCAACCACTGCCTCAAGCCCATTGCCTAACACATTTGCAGTTTTCTGAATGAAGTTAGTAGGCCAGGCAAGTCAGTCGCTAAAAATATACAAGTCTAAAGTCAAGTAAACCAGTGTGTCATGTATTGTCAAGTAGAGTCCAAAATGAGTTTTTAAAGTGACTTGAGTCTGAGGGGGGTTGCAGACTGCCAGAAATAGTGCAAATTGAGTCCACTTTTAGGGTTAGGGTTAGTGCTAGGGAATCATGGAAATTGTTTTGTTTTTTTCTGAGACATTGAGCCTTCTCTATCAGAGAGCTCTGGTGCCACAATAAAATACAGTTCCCATGATTCCCTAGCACTAACCCTAACCCTAAAAGTGGACTCAATTTGCACTATTTCTGGCAGTCTGCAACCCCCCTGAGTTAATTGACTTGAGTCTACATCCATTTATGGCCATCAACTGAACTGGTAGTTTAATCTGTCTTTTACAGATTGAACTAGTGACCCTGCAATAAGTTGGTTGGGGAAGGTGTCAGGGCAACAATTTGGTAGGGTATTGTTCTGGCCTTTATTGGAAGAAAAAGGCAGGAGGTTGCCACTACTGCCTTACCCATATGAATCTAACAATTGCTGCCTGAGCCAGCTGCCTAATTTGGCCTCTCCTTACTAAAACAGAAGCGTAGATTGGAAATGAACAACACACATCCTTTCATCCTTCACTTCTCTGCTACTTTAAAGAATTTCTCCGCAGCCTTCCCCACATCAAGTACTGGCACCAATCGGGGGGTGAGGGGGGCTGCTTTAAAACAGTGTGGCAAAGCAAAATGACAGAATTGCATTTTCTTCCCCTAGATGCTTTTTGCATAAATAAAGGCTTATAGAAACACCCTATAGATCAATAGTGGAAACACATGTTTCAAAAGCATGCAACTGTCCCACATGTGTAAATACCCTACGTGCCAAATTAGGCAGTGTTACCTCATGGCTGGAGGGTTGGATGAGATTCTCCTTTAGACATCAGTGTAGGAGGCAGACTGTCTGCTGGGCATATTCTTGACTGTTTTCTTCCTCTAGGTCTGTAAAGGAGATGATGTGTCTGTAGAAAAAACAAAGCATACTGAAAACCGAGAATTAGGAATCCTGTTTCAGAGCTGAAATCCATCTCTGGAACAACATTGTGATAATGTTGGAAAAAGTGTGGCGGTGATTATTTTTATATGTGACTGACTTTTATTTAAAGGAGTTGGATTACAGATAAGTTCTAAGGGCCATGCAAATTTTACAATACCATCTCAGGGAAACAGATACTTCAGAAATATTTTCCTATGCTGTTACTAATCAGAACAAATGTACAACAGCTCCTTTTTCCTGAAACTCTCCAATGGATCTGACAACAATAATTTCCTGTTGAATGATGGCACCAGATCCCACCTGATCTTGGAAAATAAGCAAGGTCAGGCCAGACTACTATTTGGATGGGGGACTGCCATTGAATACCAGGTGATGTAGGCTATCTTTCAGAGGAAGGCAATGGCAAAACCACCTCTGAATATTCATTGCCTAAGAAAACCCAATGAAATTTATGGAGTCACAAAAGTCAACAGATGACTTGAAGGCACACACACACAAATCAGTTTAGAAAATATTCCTGTGGGCATCTACACCATCTCCATCAGTCAGGTTGAAGGAAGTAAAAGCATCCTTCCAGAATACATGCAGATGATACTTCACAACATTTTTAAAAAAAAAAAAAAAGGGAAAAGGAAAAAAGCCCCTGATCTGTATAAAATCACCTCTCAAAAAAGCAAGAGTCTCTGTAAGAAAGTGGTAGCTCTTTTGAACATAGGAGAGAATAAAACAATACCGGGGGGGGGGGGGGGGGGGGTTAGGATGATTTCATAATGATCTAAGATACACAAAATAAAATCTTCCCATCATACACAGGATAGATTAATGGCACTTAACGTAGTGTCAAACTGCTTTGAGCGCTATACAGCATGCAGTATCCTGAATGAGGGCATCATTTGTCACACCTTGAACATGAGCAGCTCTATTACGAAGTAAAAGCCATGTGGCAACAATTTTGCTGCAGGTTCAACTTGTATTTGTATATTTACCATCTGGCTTCTTCTTGGTCATATCATATCTCAAACTGTCCTGACTTGGTAGGACAATCCTGATTAATCTTCTGTGGTACCACTTTTTGAACTGCTTTAAAAATGTTCCAGTTTCTCTCTTTTTGTCCCCAGCTTTGTCTCCACTTCCCACTTTGTCCTCAGATCAATTCAGTTGCTGTAAACGGAGTTCAAAGTGCAAAAGTAGTTTGCATTCAGTTAATTCATAAGAAAAAAGAGGTGGTGGGAGAGTCTTGCCCTTCCCACTAGGCTCAGGCAAAAACAATCTGCTGCAGCCTCTCGTAGATTGTGTGTTCTACCTTATGAATAACTTTTGCCATCTTAAACATTGTCTGATCTTGCTTGGCCACATGTGTCCCAGTTTTCATCTATGAGATGTTCAAAGTATATTGGAAACTCGCTTTTTAATATAAAAATTCTTAATGCATTGTTAATAAAATGTAACCTTCTAGGCCTAGACAGTAGTATTTTGCCATATGAACAAATATAATCAGAAAAAAGATACCTCATAGACTTTCCTGTTAGTGCCCTCAAACTGAATCTAGCTTATGACAACACTGTCATATGGTTTTCTTGGCAAGATTTATTCAGGTGTGCAATTTCTTTTGGCTTAGGCTAAATGTGACTTGCCCATCCTCAGCCTGTGAATTTCCATGGCTAAGTGGGGATTTGAACCCTGGTTTCCCAAAGTCCTTATCCAACATTCAAACCATTATGTCAGTTGGCTCTCATCTCATATAATACATAATGACTGTTTCTCAAGACTAATGGTACATCCATCATTGCATTTGTCCACAGTAAATTGTCATTTTTCCCTATTTTCTTAAAAAAAAAAACATTTTTGGAAATACCATGTCGGTCTAAAATACTAAACCCTTGCCAGCCTCCGGATATCTTATTTTCTCAAATCTGTACCTATCTGATGCTCCTTTGAATGTACATCTGTCCTCTGAATTTGAACAACTAATGCTTTCAAGCTGTTTGCATGTATAATAAAAAGAGAGCCAGCGTGGTATAGTGGTTTGAGCACTGGACTACGACTCTGGAGACCAAGGTTCAAAACTCTGCTTGGGCATGGAAACCCACTGGGTGACCTTAGGTAAGTCACACTCTTTCAGCCTCAGAGGCAGGCAGGGACAACCCCCTTCTAAACAAATCTTGCCAAGAAAAGGCCAGTCAGAAATGACATGAAAGCATATAACAACAAGTAAGATAGAAGCTGTCATTAACATGGTGGAAAATAATGGAACTAAAGAAAAATTAGAACTGCAGAGGAAAAAACAAACAGTACAAGAATAAGTATCTATATGTCCTCTTTCCCCTGCTAAGAGTAGCTTCATGAGAGGGGTGACTGGGGATTAAATGGGATTAAATTGGTTTCCTTGCACCCTGGCTAATCCAATCACCCTTCCATGTTCACACAATTGCCTTTATCACAATGCAGGCTGTCAAAACCAGTCATGGCACTTTGGTATCACATGTAACTTAGCCCTGTGGATGCCATTTCTACACAGCAAAAAAAAAAAAAAAAAAAAAAAAAAAAAAAAAAAAAAAAAAAAAACAAAGGAAGGCATTTCTAAACCAAATAATACATTCTGGCCAATGCAGATTTTACATTCCAACAGCAAATAAAGGTTAGCAAATTTAAAGTCTGACTTAAGCATCACTAGTGGCAATGGCTCAATATACCACATCCCTTGAAACTAATCTTTCAGTCTGGTTGCAAATCCCATTTCATCTTAAAGGAGTAAGATTTTTATGGCTGTCTAGACCTAAGAAGGCAGGCAGACAGCCTTCTTTCCAAGAAGTGAGCAGACAGAAGATGTGGTTCCTACTGAGTTCCTTCTAACAGGCTGAAGTCACTAATTTTTCCAGAAGAGTCACCGTTTACTAAAGTCTACCCACTCTCAGCACTTTCTGTAAATCTGGTTTTCATGTAGATTTCTCTGATCCATAAGTGGGGAAAATGTGGTTCTCCAGATGTTACTGGACTACAACAAGCATCAGTCCCAACTAGCACGGCCAATACTAAGAGATTATGGAAGCTATAGATCAATAACAGGTAACAACAGACCACAGGTTCTGACCACAGCCAGTCTGAAGAAATCTATGGTTTTTCTGTCAATCTCAGCTAAAACTGGGAGCTGCATTTCTTTTTCTTCTTCAGAAGCAAGCATAGAGGCATTTAGGCTGGATTGGGAAGCCAATAAGGAGCTAGTAATTTTAGCAGTTCTTTTTTGGCAATGCAAATGACAGATGTTTCAGAGGCAATCCAGATTGCAACCACAGGAAGAAACAATAAATGACTGAACCCTATGCATGGGTGCTCACAAATACAAACACAAACACATATCTCAATTCAGAACAGGCTTTTGAATAAGGAGCAGGGAGATGTAACTACAAACTGTGTTTCAATGCATGGTTTCGGATCATACAGCCCACCAAGTGTTGGTGGACTGCAACTCCCAAGAACTCTAGCCATCATACTCCAAAGTGAATTCTGTGCACTGCATCCCAACAACACCTTGAGGGATGTGTATTTCCTTCTTCTGATTTAATGTAACATGTAATCCAGCAAGCATGTAGTAGTACCAGAACACTGATGGCACAGGTAATCCAAGTTGCTTATAGCAGGATTTCTGCTTTGAGAATCACTCTTCCAACACTTTATAACTTGAGTTCCACTTGTTAGGGGAGCTATCACAAGTTGTATTGACCTGTAATTGGAATTCATTATAGATTATGGTAACAGTTTTCTTTTATTAAATCACAAAAGTACCTGTTTTAGTTATTTTTTTCATCAGGGATGGGAAACACATGGCCCTCCAGATGTTACTGGATTGCAACTTCCATCAGCATTTTCTGCATCGGCATAGCCGATGATGGGAATGCACAGAGAACATATAGAGAGCCACATTTTCTCTAGCCCTGTTCTACATGATGATAATAATATAAAGACATGGAAATTAACAATTAATTGCGACGGTCAGGAGCGCCTGTTATCAGCTTCGGCTGATAAGCCAGCT